GATTGCCGACCAATCAGATTTTGAGCCATATCTATGTGCCCTGATGTCCTCTTGCAAATGGTGAAAACCGCAGGTCTCTATCACTTTCCTTTCAAAAGTTATAAGAATTCTGCCGAAGCGACTTATTTTCAAAAATGGATAATAGTTTTTTAACACTTTGAAAATGTAACTTCAAAGAGGCTGATTGTCTTAATTTTATTAGTAGATTCATAAAATGTATATAATTCGTTCTTCAGTCTAGTCGGTTAAATAATTTTAAAAGACAAAAGTTAATATCTTTAAAATGTCTATAGATGATGATGCATTAGTATGGATTGATTTAGAAATGGATGGATTAGATTTAAGCAAAAATTTTATCTTAGAAATTGCTTGTATTGTTACCGATTTTGATTTACAAAATAGCTATAAAGGTATTTTGTTTTTTTTTCTTTTTTAATATTTATATTTTCTATTTATAAAATATTTTCTAGGACCTGATCTTGTAATTCATCATCCAAAATCATTACTTGATGCAATGGGTCCATGGTGTATGGAACATCATACAAATTCAGGTCTTGTACAACAAGTCTTAGATAGTAAATTATCAATGTTTGATGCTGAAAGTGAAATTATCAATTTCATTGAACAAATAACTTCATTTTCAACAAATAAAAAATGTCTTATTCTTGCTGGTAATTCTGTTTATGTTGATCGATATTTTCTTGAAAAAGATATGCCACGTTTAAATTCTTTACTTAATCGATCAATTCTTGATTGTAGTACATTAAAAGAATTAATTCGTCGTTTTAATTATGATATTTATTTAAATGCACCAATCAAAGGTGGAAATCTTCATCGTGCATTAGATGATATTTATAATAGTATAGAAGAATTAAGATATTATCAAAAAACAGCTTTTAAACAAAATCCAATAATTAAACAATATGAATTATTTTTAAATAATGATATTACAAAATATCTTATATGGATTAATATTAATTCACCATCAATCATACATTGTATTTTAACTGATAGTAATCTTAATATAATTGATGAAATTATTGATGGAAAAACTGATGATGATTTAATGAAGATTTTTTCACGAAATGAAATTTATCAAGAAAAACTTATTGTTGTAGCTGGCAAATTTTTAGGTCCAATTCGAGCTCAATTAAAAAAATTAGCTCCACAATTTAATGAATTTTGTCATTATCGATCAATTGATATTGATGTTGTATCGATTCTATGTGAAAAATGGTTTCCAAATATTTATGAACAACGACCTGTCAAGGATAATGATGATAATAATTTAAAAAATTCAATTGAACTTCTTCGTTTTTATCGTTCGACTATATTTAAATAGAGAAAAGGACAAATAAAAAAACAAATAAAAAAAAAGAAAAGAAGTTTTCATAAAACATTAAAAAAAAGAGGAAAAACACTTTTTGCTGATTGTTTTGGTTTATCATCTGTATTTGATTTTGTTATAGCTGTTGCTGATGGAATTATTTGTTGAACTTTTGATATTGGTGCAGATGATGGTACATTTACTGTACGATTTGTTGCAGTTATTGTTGAACGTAGTGCTGTGATTGTCGAACGATTATTCATTGATGATTGATTTGTTGAACTATTTATTCGTGATGCACGATGAAGAAGATATTGATTTGATTGTTGTATTAATGGAGATGATGGTGCTTGTAAACATGTATTTAAATTACGAACACAAACATTGACTAATTGACTGACACTGTCAAGTAATGAATGAGCACTGGGAAATTTACGTTGTGATAAAAGAAAGAATGCTTCAATGAAAGCCGAAAATGGTAATCCTATAAGTAATATATATATATATGTGAAGACAAGAACAATCTCAAATGTATAACAGTTATGATGAACATATGATTGATAGATTCATAAAGATAATAGAACTAGAAGGGAATGTTTTTCTTTGTCTCCGTAGTATCGTAATATCTCTACAGTGTGACTGCTATCGAGAGCAGTGATAATTATCCAGTATAATATGCTATTAATAAAGGAGGGAGTAAAGTAAATATAAATTAAAATATCAGTTTTATCACTTTCTACTTAAATACTTTTCATTAAGTAGTTTTTCACTTTTAGTATTTTTAAAATTTGTTATTAGATGATTTTCAAACATCACTTCTAGGTCCTGCTTGATTAGTTTTAAATACTATTATTGATGATTTGACTAAAATCATGCGTCATCTTTTTGTTTAAATTTGTTTTATAATGAGTAATATATTCATTTTTTCTTAAAATTTATATCTTGATTCATTATGATCCTTTCTGAAAATAGTCAGAAAATTGTTCGAAAAGATAGCAATATCTGTTTGTAATTAATAAATTTCTTGAAAATTATCCCTACAGTTTCTATCTTATAATTTATTCAAATGACAAGTTTCATTGATATTCAAATTCAGAATCAACGAGTGTTCATTGAGAGAGCTTTTATTGTATAATCAGAAACATGAATATGACAAGAAAGATAAGAGGCAGGCATGCAACATCGTACATTGAAGATGTTATCATCTTTCGTTGAAAAGTTTGATTTGAAAATTTTATTTTATTCAAGCTTTCAATCTTATGTTCGTATGAATTTATATCAGTTATGTTTCTTGTCGACAAGCAAGTAAATGTTTTTTGTATCTTTCAAATTTATTTTTGTTGCTATTCAAATTATTTTCATATTTATATGATAAAAACAGAGTATGAATATAGATAGAAAAAGTTTCGATCCTTCAATTACATCCACATATAAACAAAGATTTTGTAGTTGTCAGGTGTTGACTTTAGTTGATGATAGAATTCGTTTTATATGCTCTTCATTATTTTTATCATGAATTCTAATAACTTCTAATTCATAGGCATAGAGATTGTAATCAATTTTATTTGATTAATAATATATCTTAAGTTTAGTATAGATTTCACTTACATTGGAAGTGTTGGAGGTCTTCTCTTTGGTTTGGACTAGGGCTGTACCGCTCACGCTCATGAGCGCTCATATGAACGTGAACAACTACCCCTCACGTGAGCATGACTGTCAGGGAAAAAACGCTCACGCTCATATGAGCGCTCATGAGCGTGAGCGGTACAGCCCTAGTTTGGACTCATTTATACATGATTCAATAGAATATATTGAGATAAGAGAAAGTCTACAAGGTTTCGAGCCTATGACCTATTGGTGAAGAATTACAGCAGTTTTCTTATAACTTGAAAGCCATTTAGTTCGAAAAAAAAGCCAAAATCAAAAGTTTTGATCTTGAATTTTGCCTATAGATAGGTTTAATAATCATTAGATAGCCAAGAAAGTTTCAACAAAGATAAACATATCTTTCTCGAGATATTCAATGTCCAAGTAGAGCACATTATTGTGTCCTCCTACAGTAAACGGCTGTGTTTTTTGTGGACATTCAATACTTTTAAAAAAGATTCGTTCATTTTAGTTTTTTTTCAGAATAACTGGTTCTGAATAAAACAACTATAATTCATCTCCTAGAAGCTCTTAAAATATTAGTATTATTTCATACAATAGAACATATTCCTTGCTAGTTAAATTTTTCTAAAGCATTTATCCACGTCGATATTTTTATGGACAAGTCTATAACTAAATCCTATTTGGATAAATACTACTTTTTGTCAATATAGAAAACTGATTATTTATAAAATATAATTTTTAATATTTTTACCTGTTGAAGAAGTACGTAAAACAAATTGTTGCCATTTTCGTAATATTTGATAATAAAGTATATCAATAGTTGGTGCTGTAATTGTTTCATTAATAATTCCACATATACTATTAAAAAAAAGAAATAATATTATCATTATATATATATAAATAAGAAATAATTTAAATAATACTTTGCAAAATTACGAAATTGTCCACTTGTCATTGTTTTATGTCCAAGCATAACAACAAGTTGTATATAAATATAAGCAATTTTATCTAATAAAAATAAATGTCGATATTTTGTTTTATAATTTAATGGAAAAATCATTTTTAATTTTTGAATTGAACCAACTATAACTGTATCAGTTGTTATCATAGAACGATTTGATGCTGATTTAAGAGATGATCGTTTTATTGTTGTTGTTGATAATGATGATGTTTGATATGAATTATTATGTATATTTGAATTTGTTTCAACTAATCTTGTTTCTAATGTTCCACTTTCATCATCATCTATTGAATCGATTAATTTTTTTGTTCGTTTTATTATTTTTGGACTAGTTGATTTTCCATCAATATTCATGAAGGATTGTGTATTTGATATCAAAGATTTTTGATTATTATTTATTTGTAATGAATCTGTTATATGTGTTGGAGATGTAATAAGAACTTTTTGTTGTTGATTTTGTTCTTGTTGTTCTTGTTGTAAACGTACAAATTCTTTTGTTATACTATCTGATGGTCGAGAAAAAAATGGATTTGATTTTAAATCAAAACGTGTTTTTCGTGCACTTTTTATTTTTTCATTTCGTTCTTCGACACGACGTTGTGCAACTTTTTCAACACGTTGAGCCATTAATTCATCATTGACTTGTAATTGAGCATGACGTGCACTAAATTTTATCACATAGGAAATAATAGAAAATTAACAAAATGTTTTTTAAATATAATTAGAATTAGATATAAATGTTAACAAGATCTTTTTGGAATCATTCAAAATCCATCAAGTTTGAAAAACTAGAATTATGAATAGCCGTACACGATGAAAAATAATCGTTATATGATTCTCTTAGCCATGTAAGTAAATCTTCAACATTATAAGATATCGTATATCTAAAAGTATCGCTCAAAAATGATCATCGTTCAATGATGTTGTGAGGATCATATCTGTATCATGCTCTATTCTTGCTTTGTTCTACCTTACAAGGTTCTTCCTCCGAGACTCAACAGCATGCTACCGTGATATACTCTTAGTTATTTTTCAACTGATAATCTAATGCTGGTATATCGTCGGTAGACAAAACAAACGTACAATATGGTCTGTTTCTTTGTAAATCTCTAACTTATACAATTGTAACTCTGGAGTTAAGTAGTATTATGAAATCCAACCATGTACAATCTTACATAGTTGTTTATAGCGTCGTAGAAAGACTTTGTTTTTAGGCAATCATAATTTTCATCTTGGGTAGTTGAAACTAATAAATAATGAATTCTTACGTCTTGTATGTCAACATAATATATTGAAAACGAAGACATACAAAACATATATATATATATTTATGCTGATAGAAACTGAGAGAACATTTACGATTCTTAGGAAATAGTTATAATATTGAGATTAAAATCTAATTCAATATCTAGTAAAAAATATATTCTTATTATAAAATTACGATGTGTACTGATAATTGAAGAAAAATTTCTAATCGTTTTCTAGAAAAATTTTCATAAAAAAAAAGATCTGATATTATATAATCTACTTACAATGTATTCAATTTTTTCTTTGGCAATGCTAATTTAAGTGTTTCTAATACTAATGGTTTTTTAATTTCTTCATCAATTGGACTTGATTGATAAATTAATCTTCCTAAAAATATTAAGTATAATTTTTATTAATAAATAATATATTTTTGTATTTTACCTGCTCCATTCTCCTTATCAAAATCAATTCGAAGTGAAGGATTTGCATTAACTTCAAGTAAAATTGGTTTCAAATGATCAGTTAGAATAATATCAAAACCAACAATCTATATAAACATAAATCTAGTACAATCAAAAGCCTACACCCACACTCGTACATTGATTTGATCAAAATACTATTAAAAAAACAAAGATTTGAGCCGTATGGGATGTACCATGTGAAAGAAAACTTAGAGATCTATAAACTCTACTCACAGCACTTTTTAGAAATTATCATTAGCAACATTTGTTGCAGTCTCTTCTGTGGAAATGAAGAAAGTTCAAATTTTTATTTGTCCACTACGAAAATTCTTTTAGATTATATTTCATAAAACAAAATTTAAATATAATTCTACCTGAAAACATGATATATTTTGTTTTTTTCCTAATGGTAATTCAAATTCATATTCAACTCGAAGTTCAGGTAAAATAGCTAATATAGTTTTATTAATCATTTCTGTAATTAATGTTTTTGTTCGTTCAATTTTTTCATCACCATATATATTTATTAATTGTGTCCAAACTATACTTAATTTACGTTTACTACCATCAGTTTGTTGATTATTAGTTGCATGTTTATAATTAGCACTATGTTTATTTAATGAATAATTTGTTAAATGCATATATGTTTGATGAAGATTTTCTGTTGATGGAGCTTTATAACCAATTGTTGCAAAACGTGCAAGTCCTTCATCATAAAGAAATATTTCTAATGG